GCTGCTTCTTCTTCTAGGTGTGTTATGCCAAAGAGCTGAAGGAGGGTTTTGTGGAGTACACTGAGCAGGTGGTGAAGCTCATGGTTCCTCTGCTAAAGTTTTACTTTCACGATGATATCCTTTCCTAACCTTTAACATTTCAAGTAATGTTATTTATTTGATGACTAGACTTGGAAAACTTTATTTCGTGGCTCCATTTTTGTTTATATGATGAACGGAGTGCAGTAAATTTTTTTCTTTAACCGTGTAACGTGTGAGAGTGGCTGCGGCCGAGTCCATGCCGCTGCTGCTGGAGTGCGCCCGGGTTCGGGGACCAGAGTACCTCACCCAGATGTGGCATTTCATGTGCGACGCGCTCATCAAGGCCATCGGCACAGAGCCCGACTCGGACGTCCTTTCTGAAATCATGCATTCTTTCGCCAAGGTGAGTCCCAACACCTCTGTTCCACCAACATGTATCAAAGAAACAAGTCAGGCTTTACCAACCTGGCTTTTTGCTACCAAGTCATCCAGTATGAACAAAGACCTTTCTCTTTAAGCATTTTTTTAGATTTTTCGGCCATTGATTATTGCAATGGGCCAACTTTTTTTGTTCCATAGGATCAAACATGCAGAGATGTTGCTTGTGTGTTTTTGTTTTGATTGGTGCTTTGTCTGTTCAGTGCGTTGAGCTGATGGGAGACGGCTGTTTGAACAACGAGCATTTTGAGGAGCTGGGTGGGATCCTTAAAGGGAAACTGGAGGAGCACTTTAAGAACCAGGAGCTCAGGCAAGGTGAGGATGAACCAACCAGATAGTCTCTTGTTTTTAAAGTGTAGCGTGCGCTTCGGACACCATGTCCATATGTGATGTGAAAATGTTTTTGCTTCCCAGCCAAAAGACAAGATGAAGACTACGATGAACAGGAGGAGGAAACCCTACAGGATGAGGTTAATATAACATTATTTTATTTATTTATTTTGTGAGAAAGTGTAAAATATTTTCTTCTGGACTCTGTTTATTTTTCAACCTGATTTTCAGGATGAGAACGACGTGTACATCCTGACCAAAGTGTCGGACGTCCTGCACTCTGTGTTCAGCAGTTATAAGGAGAAGGTCCTGCCTTGGTTTGAGCAGATGCTGCAGCTCATCGTCCAGCTAATAGTGAGTCATTTGTCGTTTCTGTTGAGCGTTAAATGATCCAGACCTCAGCTGATTGGCTCTGACACGTTTTGCACTGCTTCAGTGTCCCAACAGGCCATGGGCCGACAGGCAGTGGGGTCTGTGCATCTTTGACGACGTGATCGAGCACTGCAGCCCCTCCTCTTTCAAGTACGCAGAGTATTTCCTGCGGCCCATGCTTCAGTCGCTTTGCGACACGAGCCCCGAGGTTCGGCAGGCCGCTGCTTATGGCGTCGGTGTCATGGCTCAATATGGCGGCGAGAGCTATTTCCCTTTCTGCACAGGTAGGGAGATGCCAGCTGATCTCGACTTGTCACTGTCGCTACGGTTTTTAGTTTAATGTTTGGCGCGTTGTTGCAGAGGCCGTCCCCCTGCTGGTCGCCGTCATCCAAGCGGCTGATTCTCGGTCAAAGGAGAACGTAAACGCAACAGAGAACTGCATCTCGGCGGTCGGGAAGCTCATGAGGTTCCGGCCGGAGTGTGTGAACGTCAACGAGGTTCTTCCCCATTGGCTTGGCTGGCTGCCGCTCAAAGAAGACAAAGAAGAGGCTGTTCACACGTTTGACTTCCTGTGTGACCTCATTGAAAGGTACGTCTGTCCGTTCTTCATGTTTACCTTTTAGAACAGCCTAAAAGAGAGAGGTTAGAAAACAGGTATAGAAACATTTGGAGTGTGACTCTGGAACACTTTTTGAGGTTATTGGGCCAACCTATGGACTTCTCTTCACAGCAACAACCCAGTTGTCCTTGGGCCAGAAAACTCCAACCTCCCTAAAATTTTCCTCATCATAGCCGATGGCGTCGCAAATGAATCTGTTAAAACTGAAGATGCCTGCACCAAACGGCTCGCAAACGTTATCCGTCAAGTACAGGTAAGCAAGAGCAATGTTTCTGATATCTGAGGGTTTTCTTCTTTTCTTTTGCTTTCCTTTCTGAAAAAAAAAAGAAAACTAATTGGGAAGTCAAAAATATCTTCAAAAAGTGGCTTTCATCATTCTTTCCATGAGTGGTGCAATTGTTTTTTATTAATAAACATGCACTTTTACCAGAAGATTGTCATAAAATTACAAAAAAAATCAATTTAATGAGAATACAGTTTATGTAACGTTAGCAAGCTTAGTTGTGTGTCTGGTCTTTGAAATGCTCAGTTGTTGGCGCAAAGTCCTGTTACTAAAAATATTTTAATGCTGGTGTGTTAAAAGATGAAGTATTTTCTTATCTTTAAACTTGTTACCAATGTATAACTTCATTTTTTAATTTTTCATCTTAATTCTCACATTATTTATAATTAGTTTCATTGCCTGGCTCTACGTTCCTAAATGTTTGTGCGGTTTACGTCTAACTGGGAGCTTAAATGTCATCTAAAACTTTTTTTTTTTTTTTTTTTTTTTCCTTTCCAGGTGTCTGCAGGATTATGGACGCAGTGCGTTTCCACCCTGAACGAGACGCAGCAGAAAGCCATCCAGGACCTCCTGAACGCTGCCTGAAGCTGGACCTGTCGCCCTGTCATCTTCCTTTCCGTTCTCCAAAAAGCCCATGAAGAAACGTAGAGCTCCTGGATCTCTTCCATACACTCCCTGACCTCCCTCCTGCTCCGTAGTGTATGGATGCCAGATTCACCCTCATCTTCACCTTCGCCTGACTAACATAAAAAAAAAACGAAGTTCAGCTAGCGGTTGGGGGGAAGCAGGTTAGATCTTTGCAATGGGAGGACATTGGCCACCAACCTTAAAGACTTTCTTCCTCTAGTCAAGGAAGTGAGAATAAAAGTTAAGCTGTCGCCCCGTCTCTTATCTGGACGCTTCCTTTTGAGCCATTCCCCAACTTGTCTTGCTTCTCCACCCATGGGGGTTTCAAAGTCACCCAACTCATTGGACTGCAGACACGAGGGTGGCAGGACATCATTCTGGACTGAGCTGCTCAAAGAGGGGTAAATGCACACTGGGCATCCACTGCCTGTGTCCTGTGAAATTTCTTTTTGTATTTCTTTTTCTCGTTCCGTGTTCAGAGTCGACTGAAAGGGGGAGGAATGGCCTCCGTCTCCCATGGTTGACCAGATATATTTGAAAAACGGCATGTTAAGTGGCTAGCTCAAGAAAATACAAATGGTTAGGTTATTTGCATCATTTGACGTCTGGGAAGCGGTTTTCCTTAATAGCCTTCACAGGAAGTTTGAACGGTTCTCGGACCCTTTGGGTAGCAGGCGAAAGACGGGGGTGGTTCTTCAGAGACTCGTTCTGCAGTTGGTTGACGCCTCGAAGCAAGTTGACTGTAAAAAGAGTGCGACCTTGACTCCTGACCATCTGGTTTTGACCCTTTGCAGTCCTGCAGATGTGAAATGGAAACTACCAATAAAATTACATTGAGGACTTCTCAGATTGTTTTATTTAAAAATCTTAGCGTGCACATTCTCTGCAAAAGTTAGGCTATAATAAAAAGGTTGTTTTTTTAACACAAGCAACTATGACTTTTTTTTTCTTTTTTCTTTTTTTTTACAAAAGAAACACTGCATTTTAACATTTTTCAGGTTGAAATAAGTACTGAAAACTTTGACTGTATGTTCAATGTGTCATTTATTTGGTTTATTTTCAGTTTAAATTTTACTTCATGTTTTTCTGGTACCTTTCATTTAATCTTTGGTGCTTCAAGATGAGCATTTCTACCGTAAATGTATGGTGAGCTTCAGTTTTTAATATTAAAATTAGTCTTAGGAATGAAGTCAATCTAGCATTTTAACAAAACTAATTCAAATAGCGGGTTTAAAACGCTTACAGTATTACGTACTGTTTCAAAAACAAAAGAATACGTAATATTGTTTAAAAAAAATTTTTTATTCCAAAAAACGTTTTTTTAATTGTCCCTTGAATGCATCATGTCAGACGCGTCCGAACGAACCTGAAGATGAATGGAGTGGACATAAAGCGAAGATGACCCCAAAACTTTGTGATTAAATTGGATATGTTACAGGTTTTTTATTCTTTTTTTTAAATTATTATTATTTTAGTCAAGGAATCTTTCAGAAGATATTTAGTTCAGAAGCCATCTATGTACCAACTAAGTAAGTTAACTTCCAGCTACTTTTTCACTTGTAGCTAGCTTTACCTGCTAGCATTAGCCTTACGGTCAATTAGCCCATTTCATCGACGAACTGGGTCATTTTTTTCTCACTTTCTCAACAACGGGTCAGCATAGACAGCGTTTTGTTCTTCAAACACTGCAAAGCAAGTTAAAACATCTTGAACGAGCTTAGCGTTCAAGATGTATTAACGCTAAGCTAGCATGCTGTAGCACCGACGCTAGGTGGTGCTATAGCTTATTCAGACTCAGCACCTCCAACCAAATGGTATTCTCTATTACAGTTTTATGTAATAATTCTGTCTAAATGGATTGGATTTAACCTAAAAAGCAAAAATGATCAATAGCAAACTCAGAATATTTGGAAAAAAAAATAAAGATATCAGGCTGGAAATGAGCCTATAGGAGATAAAATTGTCTTGCTGGAAAGTTAGGTGAAAGAAAACAAGTGTTTATTGGTCATGTAGCTTAAGTTTACCCATTACAACCTTAAAAACACTAGTTTCATAGTATTTATTATGACAATTGTGATTCTGCTGCCTGAATACAGTTTCCAGAGATTTTATCTCACCTTTTTAATTTGGATGCTTTTTTTTAATGCAACTTTTTCTATAGGAGTACAAATTATTTCAGAAATGTTAATGCAGTTATGTTTGTCTGCTATGAAATGGTAACTTTACCCCTGTGTAGTAATCATCCATTGTTTAATTAGAAAAGGATTTGAGTTTTTTTTCGAGCAAAAACCGAAGAAAAGACGCACAGCAAACAGAGCAGCCATGCTTTATTAGGACATCTACTTCAACAGAATGCTTTAAATTAAAGCTTTCGAACAACTCGACCATGAATGCTGTGGCTAGCTGGGTATTCTTTCTTTTTTTTTTTTTTTTTTTTTACATATTTCACACAATATACATTAATGTGTTGGAACGGTTCTTAATTTAGTCCTAATGCAACCAGCCTGGGGTCAATCAGAGCTTCAGGGAGGTTATGTGATGTTGAGTGTTTATTTCCATCTGACATGTGGGCTCTGCTCACAGAGAAACTGCGGCTTCTTCACTGTTAAAGTTGTCTGGGATCATCTGGTGCAATTCACAGTGGTGGTTTAAATCCCCAGACCAGCTGGGAACGCCACGCTTCGCACAACAAACGAGTCTTTTCATTTATAAGAAAAACACAGACAATGCTATTCAGGGTTATGTGCAACCTTCAGGAAAAAAAAGAAAAAAAGATACCCTTTTTAGACATGTTAATCTTTGTTTTGTTGTTTTTTTTTTTACATTTACAGGTTAAAAGAAAGGAGAAAGGATTTATAATGAGGGCATCACTAGCAGAATCTGTCCATGGATTTGCATGGCTGCCCCATGATCATTTGACTACAAGAGCAGAATTATGCAACACATAAATTAAAGCTGTCGGTTTGATCGCAGCCACCAGAAGGCGATGGTAAGGGAGCCAGTGTCACCAGATATTGCAGTATTTACAGTGAAGCAGACTAAGTGAACAGGTAAGAAGTTTTCAGACACAAACAGCTTTAAACATGATGTATTCTGAGTAATTCTCACAAGACAAACAGTGAGCTCCCCCCTTCTTCTGATTAATTCAGCTTTTAGTCGCAGGTTGACTTCCCCCTTTCGTCCTACTGGAGCATGTCCACAAACGCGTCAAATTCGTCAATGTTCTTCTCATAGACACGCAGTTTCTCCGGCAGTGAGTCCTGCAAACGAACCAGCTCACATCAGTCCTTTGTTTAATGTTCTTTAACTAAAAATGTTAAATTACGATGGGGTATTAGGGCCGTTAGAAAAAAGAGGTTTATCTCTGACATTTTTCAAGAAAAAGAAAGGTGGAATTTTGTTGAGCTTCAAAAGTGAAAAGTTTGCCAAGGAAAAAAAACATTTTGAGATTAATCAGATTTTCTAGAAAATGTAAATGTTTCAAACACAAATTTCAACGTTTGTTTTCAGAAAATTAGATTCCTCTCAAAATTAGGACATTTCACTAGCAAATTATTGACTTCACACTCAAATTTAAAAAATTTTTCCTGTAATTTCTGAGATTATTCAAAAACTGTTTTTTTGTATTTAATTTAATTCTTTTAATTTTAAATTTTTTCCAATGGCCCCAATACGTCATGAGACAATACAAAAGGGGAGAGGGCGTGTTTACCAGGTCGTCAGCCATCGACTGGGAGCTGGTGTGCAGCGAGAGGCTGGCCAGCTGTGGAGGGTTCTGAAACTCTCGATAGAAAGTGCCCAGATCCATCGGCAAAAGGTCATCTTTAGAGAAAGCTGGACGCTGCACAAAGGGACAGACAAAAAAAACAAACATAAATCACATCATGATTAGCATCTTTCTCCTTTAATGTTGCATCTGTAGTATTGAATAAATAAAAATAAAATATGGGATTCCAGTAAGAAAAACAGATCGATTTAAAAGTGGTCACTTCACTCAGTTGGTTGTGTGTTTTTCCCCTGATAGTTTTGAAGTCAGAAACCACTCACAAAGTCAACCATGACGAAGTCGTCCTGCGGTCCCGATCCGTCCGAGCCCTGAGAGTGAAGGCTGGCCTGCAGGGGCGACTGGGAAGGAGGAGAATCCGGAGGACGCACCTGAACGCAAGAAACGCACACAGTCACCTTCCAGCGGCAGGACGCGTGAGACTATAAAGGTATGTTGAAAAACCAGATAAAATCACCATGGGATCGTTCTCCTCAGAGTCCAGGCCACGAGGAGCAAATGCAGCGAATGGGAGATCCAAACTGGCAGCTGTTATCTACACAGGCACACAAACAAAAATATTATTTTAACCAACTTTCATGGAGAGGATTGTAAGAGGAGACACATTAACTACCTGAGTGTTGGGTTTATTCACAAAAGCCCCAACCTTCCTTGTGAATGCATTGAGGGACTCCACTGGGTCAGAGGGAGAGACGCTCCTCCTCCCATCGTCCCTTCTTCCCTCACCGCTCTGCAGCAGCCCGTCTTCATCGCCACTGTTAGACAACGCCGTAAGAGTTTCCTTATTGATATTTTCCAATTGAAACTGAAGACGCAAGTGTGAAGAACTTACCTGCTGCTCGGTGTGTTTGGAGCGTTTTCTATGGTCAGATGGACATCCGCTCCATGAGGCGGCTGAGGCTGAGCCGGAACCAGAACATTCCCTCCTTCTTTAACCTGGAAGAGAGAACGTCGCTGAACAGAAGCCTAGGGACTCGAGCACTGATCCCTGGGGTTCTCTTTTTGTGACCCAGAATGAGAGTTTTTGCTTAAGTTTCCAAAATTTGACCCATTGATACTTATATATAATGAGGGCAAAAGGATTTCCGATGTGATTTTCTGACAATAGAAAGTGTTGATTACAACACAAAATATAAATCTTTTTTCGACCAAACTCTTATAGTTTTCTTATATTTTTCTATTGAAAAATCTATCACTGCACCCATTTCAGGTTTGTCTAATTCATTAAAGTTGACTAAATATAGCAAAAGTTTCAAAGAAAGTCACAGAAACCCTGTTTGTATAACTGAGAATAAATTTGTTCAAGTAAACCCCCAAAATGTATTTGAATCTTAATACTTATGACTCAGTGACGTTGGAAAACTCCTGGCTTAAGTTTTATGCCTCTTTAACTTTATTATTTCCCTGAGTAAACATCAGTTTGTGCGTGAATACAACTACCTACCTGGTTTGTGTTGAACTCAGCAGCTCCTCCTGGAGGTGCAGGCTGGTAGGATAACCTGGAAGCATAGAGCTGCAGAAAAAATAAATTAATTAAAAAAAAGGAAATAATAACCAAATACCAAACACTAAGGTTCTTGTTGGTGCTGAAGGGATATGAGAAAGTGTGTGTCAAGCATTATGAGTTAACTACGTCGCTACAAGTGACGGCGAACCACAACAAACTGAAGCTACAGGGATGCAAACTCTGCTCTAAGCTAGTTGCAAGGATTCCAGAGGTCAAGTGATGGAGAAGGTTGTGATGAACACAAAACTAGAGAGGTAAACTCTGGCGGGTGAGCTTCAGCGCCTCTCACAAAAAAACACACCATCAAACACCACCAAAGACTCACATTGTGAGTGACAAGTCCTGGAGCCAATGGGAGCTGGAGACTGTCCAGCGGGAGGGGTTTGGACAGTTTGGAAGGGGATGGACTCAGAGTGCAGACACACTGAGTCCACATTAGCAACGAAAGTTAAAGAAAACGGACGAGAAAACAAGAGGAGAGAGTGAAATGATAATCAGGAGTGAGAATCGACAGATAAAGAGAGAGGAGGAGTGTGGGCTCACCTGAGAGGGAGGGGAGGTGGAGAAAGAGGTGGTACAGACCTCCTGCGAGTCCTGAACGCCAGCAAACGCTCCGCCGTCGTCCTCATCTGGGGGTCTGAAGACGCATGGACAGGAAGTGGTTTTGCTGAAGCACAGAAAACTAGAGGATGACTTAAAAAAAAAAATAACCATGAAGGTCTACCTGTAGTTGCAGAGCTGCCCCATTGTGATTGGACGCTGATTGCCGCAGGGCGCGTCCACAAAGTGATCCACGATGATTCCCATGATGGGAGCCGACCGTTCAAACTGCCTGCAGAATAAATCCAGGTCATCGTTACCTGCTGAGCTGAACTTAAGGGAAGACAGACTGAGCGGCAGTGGGAAGGTGCTGGTTACCTGCTGGACATGAACGCCAGGTTGGTGCGGTAGGCACATGACAGCGTTACCGTGCCGACCGGGGTGCCGACAACACCGACGCGCACCGTTTGGAAACCTTGATAAAAAGAAGATTGATGAAGGATGGTTGAGTCCATGAATAGTAATAGTACATAGTTATTGACGGGAGCACAAAAAACAGATGGATGGACGGACAGATTGATGGACAGACCAAGGAAAATCACACATTAAACAGACGCCACACAGACCAGAACTAAAGTTACCTTCTCCTAATCCACCCAGCTGGACTTCCCCAAAGTAGATCCTACACAGGAGACAGCATTTAGATGGATATCTTAGTTTTATATGGCTGGATTCAAGAGATGGGCGTCAGTGCTCATCAGGACACCTGTATAATATGACGTAGTCGTGGCCTTGCTTTCTGGATAGCTTATAGGCGGGAGTCACTCTGGTGATGGCCAGCAGAGATTTTAGGAGGACAGACAGGCGATTATAGACGGTGTACGACACTTTAATGTCCTTATCACACCTGCATGAGGGCCAGAAATCACACAGGTTAAACGTGAAACGGGAGCTAAGCTGAATCTGAACGCTGCTTACTTCTCATTCATCTCCAGGCACCAAGTCTCTAACTCCATGGAGTCTCCCTAAGCAATGAAGATGGAGACAAAAAAGATCAATTTAGTGACAAAAACTCTCCTGGGTTATGAGGAGCTAAAACTAAAGTGACTTTATGAGTTCTACCTCTGAGGTCTTCAGGGAGATCTCCACACACATGGAGCGGCCGATGCCTGGAAGCTGGCCGGCCAGCGCCTTCTTGGCCTCATGAGTGACCTCCGGGATGTCTTTGATGGCCAAATTAAACTAAACGGAATGTGGAACAGGAGGGAAAAAGTGCTTCACATCAGAAGACCAACAAGGTAGGGATATAAAATGATTTAAAAAATAAATAAAATAAAATAAAATGGAGCTTTAGTTTCACCCAGTCTGAGCCAGTGGGTGACGAAGACGAGCGAGTGCAGATCTTCTCCCCCAGGCGAGCTTGAACGATCACCTGAACAGTCTACACATAAAAACAAACAGTGATGTGGGAATGAGTCGGGAGAAAATGGCTGAAAACAGGGCTAATAAAAACAAGGTCTAAATAAAAAAGTTTTGGATCAAGGGAAAAAGCTTTTGGCTGCCCTCTGACCTTTAAGGCAAAAAACTTGATGAACTTGTCCAAGTCTTTCTTATCCTGTGGACTCAGGTCACCGTCCATGTTGTCACGACCCTGAGGATCACAGGAGACGCAATCTGTTAGGGCATTTTTCCAAATCATTCATTTAAAAATATATATTTATTTATATAACTTTTGTCTACGAATGTGAAATACATCAAAAATAATGTGCAAAGTACCCATAAACTTTACAAGTGTCAAATAAGAGCAATGTTAAGGTGAAAACATAGAAAAGCGAGATTAACGCACACAAAAGTATTGCAAAAATAAAAGCATAAAATATTCCAATCTAAATAAACAGAACGTTAATAGTAAAGCAAATCTTGTAATTATTACAAATATATTACATATTTAATACACAACAATAGATGCACAGACAATTAAATGTACATTTTTGGACTTTCCACTCTGTTCTATGCTCATGGTGCTCCATCATAAGAATAATCAGAATAATTAAATGAGGTGCAAAACTTAGCTTTTTGCTGTAAAAAGCATCCCAAAATGTTGTGCTGCTTAAAATCCCCAAACCAAAGCAAAGTTTGACCTACATAAACTATTTTGACTTAAATCTGACGTTGCTGCGTACTAATTGATTGTATTTCTAAACGAAATGAATGTGGATAGAAAATGTTTGACAAATCAGTGACACACGTTGGCAAAGGCAGCTTTTAAACCTTACACAATCACTAGTTCTGGAAAACAAATCAGGCCTCCACGCTTATTAGAAATTAACCTGACTAAATATGGAGGTCATTCATAGTACAAAGACTGACTGCAGTATTTGACCAACTACAGCGCCTGTTATATGAAAAACGACAACATAACAGGAGGATTTCTGGAATGATTGCTGCTTGTTTTCCTGACAGAACAGTGAGTCACTGCTACACCAGCGTTAGCATGTTGCTAATGCTAGCTGACTGGCTGAATAACGAGGGCTTTATAAATCCTTAAAAACACCGAAACTTACATTAGCCGTTTCCTTATCGATGGGCGTTCAATGTAATAGACATTAGCTTGAACATATAGCAGAATTAGTATTTTCTATAAAGACTCATAGGCCATGTTCGGACACACATAACGTCAGAAGCTGCTGTGCTACTTTTCTGTTTATCTTCTCCATGTCGACGTGTTTATGTAGCAGCGATCTCCAACTCGCACTTTCGCCACGTCCTTTTTCTACAATATTTATTCACTTGAACAGCTGAAACATACAATTACACTATGCTTCACTCTGAGGGCACATTTCGTGAACTAGAAGAGATTTATAAATATATATATAAATACTAAATTTGTTGTGTCGAATCTGCGATTGGTCACCGCAAACGAAGTTTCCTTTGGCTTATTTTGGTTGCCAGATGCTAGCTTATCTGAAGGTAAACAATGTTCTTTCTTCAAAGGTATTGAAAAGGCTTAGAGGTTGGTTTGAAGTCACTTAGTTTCACCGAGTCTGTAGAGTTGTTAGGTGGACCACATTGATCTGAGATTTGACTCAATGGAACGAAGCTAGCTTAAAACTAGGTAGAAAATTGGGTTAGCACTTGTGTTTATGTGCCTCTTTATGCTTAACATAGCGTTTCTTTGCATGTTTCAAAAGCACATATCACGATCTTAATGCTGTATTGTATCAAAATGAAGGCATATGCGTAATGCATGTATATGCTTTGATTTAAACCATGTTTAGCTTCATTGTTGTGCTGGAAGGTGAACCTCCTGTCCAGTTGCAAGTGATTTCCACCCTTCAACAAAAGATATCAGTTTCCCTGTGTCTGCTGAAGAAAAGCAGCCCCACAGCATGCTGCAACCACCACCATGTTTCATTGTGGTCAGTGTGACGAAGATACCAGTGCGGTGTTACTTTACTGCCTCACACAACTTTTTGTGTTTTAGCCTGTGTCATATGTTGTCCTTTTGACATTTTTATTTCAATTATAAAAATACATTTTCCTTATTATTGTTGGGTTTTTGTTGTCTTTCCTTGTAACATGTGAGTGCATGGCAACACAAATGCTTAAAACTAGTTTCTTCTGCAAGAAAATTGAAAATGACTCATCAGTGTTTCAGAAAAATATTTCACTTGGCACAAAATTAAGATTATCTGCATGGTGCATCTTCTTCTGTTCCCTCAGCATGGCCATCCCGATAGCCATCTTGGACTGTGATCTTCTCCTGCACGGGCGAGGCCATAAGACTCTGGAGCGCTTTGACCTGGACACCGTTTCAAACAGCGTTCTCCTCTCAAACTTTGGGTTTCCAAGAGACTTCATCCTGTATCTAGTGGAATTACTGAGAGAGGTGCGACTCGATAATCATTACTTTCCATCTTAAAAAGAAGTGATGTTTGCAGTTCCATATTGCGTCACCTCGTAATTTCCATTCGGCAGACTCTTTCCAGGAGAACCCTGAGATCCAGAGCAATCAGTCCTGAGGTTCAGGTGTTGGCAGCGTTGGGCTTCTATACATCTGGCTCATTCCAGACGTCAATGGGGGATATAATAGGGATCAGCCAGGCGTCCATGTCCAGATGTGTGACCAATGTGACTAAAGCTCTGGTGGAGAAAGCTCCAGAGTTCATCACTTTCAATAGGTACATATGTCACACTTTGATTTAAAGCTCACCACCTTTATGGAAAATCTTAAAATAATACATGCTGTTCAAACAGAGACCCGTCGAACAGAGAGTACTCCTTCCAGGAGTTTCAGAGGGTGGCAGGATTTCCAGGAGTCCTCGGCGTTCTCGACTGTGTTCAGGTTAGCTGAAGAAAACAAAAAAACTCTCACCTTCACTTTTTTTTTTTTTTTTACCAATGTCTGGAAAATTTTGTCTGATGGAAAAGATGGGCACAAAGTAGGGAATAACTGTAAAGCAGCAGGAGAGCAAGTTTTAGAAAGATTGAAGTGTGATTTGCCTTTTATATTCAGCTACCTCAGTTATCTTCTATATTCAGTTAAGATATATTTAGTTATTCTCAACATGCAAACACATAAAAAAATTACATTATGAAAAAATTTAATTTTTGTTCTATTTTGCATTTCATAAATTGAAACTCGCATATTATATAGATTCACTACAGAGAGAGTGAAATATTTTAAGCCTTTATTTCTTGAAATTTTGATAGGAGATGATGAAAACAGCGAAACTGACTCCCTCAGTAAGAAGGGTAAAACGTAAAAAGATCATTTCTAAAGAAGCTGGGTTTTCACCTAATACAAAATTCAGAATAAAGTAGGAGGACGTTTGTCTTAACCCTTCCTCAACAGGTGGCCATCAAAGCCCCGAACAGCGACGCCTCCTCTTACGTGAACAAGAAGGGCTTCCACTCCATAGCCTGCCAGCTGGTCTGTAACGCCCGGGGACTTTTACTGAGCGCTGAAACATGGCCCGGCGGCCTGCAGGACACCAAGATTCTGCAGAGGTCAGCCATTTCCAAACAGCTGCAGGACAACGAGGAGGGCTGGCTGCTGGGTGAGTCGCTCTCTCAGGAGCAGTCACACGTTTGACTTCAGAGCTCTGACGGTAATGTGGGTCTGCTCTTTGAAAGGCGATGGACGTTATCCTTTGAAGAAGTGGCTGATGACACCAGTGGAGAGCCCAGGAACAGCTGCAGAGTTTCAGTATAACCTGGCCCACACGGTGACACATGAAATAGTGGACAGAACTTTCAGGGCCATTCAGACCAGATTCAGATGTTTAGATGGCATCAAAGGGAACCTGCAGGTATGATTTTAATTAAGCCTCTATATTCTTGTGCAAGCAAAATGACATACACGGTTTCTCTCCAACATGAGCAGTATTCTCCTGAGAGGAGCTCGTCCATCCTCCTTGCTTGCTGCGTTCTGCACAACGCCTCCCTGCATTCCGGCCTGGACGCCTGGACTCTGGAGAGGACAGAGCCACTGGAGCAGCCCAAGGGCCCCGAGGAGACGCTGGAGGACTGGGACAGCGAGGCGGAGGAGCTCCGGAAACACATCATACTGAAACACTTCAGCTAGAGACTCCACAGAGGACAGAGACCAGAAAAAGACTGGATGGATGGATGGATCAATCAATGAACAGATGGATGGATCAATGATTGAATGGATGAATGATTGGATGGATGGTAAGTAGACATCATGGATGGTTGGTTGGCTGGTTGCATGGAAGGAAAACCAACAAATAACGAATGGATCTCTCCATCCTTTTGCGTTAAACACAGAGAAGAATGAAATCCACAGGCACAGAGTTGCTGATGCAGATTTTTAATATTTTGCTCATTTCTACTCTACTGACTACACTACGATAACATAGATATAGATATATATATATATATGTATATATATGTGGAGGAACATGCAGGACTCTATACAACAAACAGAGACAACAACACATCCAAACACATTTCAAACAGCCTGGCGCCCCCTAGAGGTTCGCCTCCTGGAGTTTTAGGACTAATCAAACTGTGTGTAGATGCTGTGTCATCTCAGTTAATTACAAATGGACTCCCCCCAATCCCTAAATCATCATTTCTTTTATTTTGATGCCCCTCCCCCCCCTTTTGTTTTCTTCCCCACAGGACGTTCCACAGGCTAAAATCTGGGATTATGACAGTACAAAAACAAGACCCACTATTTACAACAACTATGCTGGAAGTTGTCATCAATTATGTACATTTGGTATTTGGTCCCAGACGAAATAGAGAGAGAGAGAGAGAAAAAGAGAGAGAGAGTGGATCTGGCTGCAGTCACATAATGCTTTTCTGTTCATTTCTGATGACAAAATGGAGACAAAATCAATGAACTAGATGGAAGAAAAAAAAGGAAGAAACCCATGATGAAGTGAAATGCGTTATACACAGCTTTTGGAATAAAATGACTTGTTTGGGGTTTTCAGAACAGCACTGTGTTATAGATAGTGGTGATGAAATCTTCTGATTTCATTATAGTGTTCAATCAAACTGAAACTAGTGGTGCTTTTTCTCCTGGAATGCTTCTTCAATATTTACACACTTTCTACAAGCAATCAATAAATACAACAAACACTGCTGAATGATAATTGGTCATCTATTTTTTTTTACTTTTGTTTTAAATTTCTGGCCAAAAACAAAGTTAGAAATATAGAAAATAATAATTTTTTTAAATTCTGAAGCACCCAATTCATGCGACAGCAGTTTTATGTCATGAAACTTTACCTCTTCTGAAATGCCAAATCATCTCCTTTTTTATTTTGCATAAAATAAATATGCTAATTTTTCAATGCTTGTAATATATTAAAAGTTTTCTTTTTGTATTTTTTTTTATTATTTAAAAAACAATAAGATAAACTAACTTAAAAAAAATCAGTACATGTATTTTTTTTCGCATAAATTAAATATGCATTTTTTTGATGCTGCAAATATATTACATATACAATTTATATTTAAAAAAAAAAACTTTTATGTGATGCTTCCTACCCTCAGATCGGCGCCGTTTTATGAAAGAAAAGAACACGCCTCCCAAGAAATACCAAAATATAAGAAAAAATTAGACATTTGGTCAGAATTAGAAGTAAAAAAATGCTTATTAAATGATAAAGTTGCAGAAATAACCTAGAATTTGTGTTTTATTTTGAAAATTTAAAGAAGTGCTACAGTTCTCCACACTTACTGGCACCTCTGGTAGACATGCAAAAAGCCTTAAAATAAATACATTTTATTATTCTGAAAAAAATCCCAAATTTTGAGTACATTTCAACTTTTTAAAGATGATCTACATGTAAAATAATGTATTTGATAATTCTGGGCGTCCTGTTGCCATGAATAAATATGACATGATGTAATGGCTAGTTTCTCTTAGACACTACAAAATGAGAAAGACAAGAGAACATGCCACTTAGGAAGGCAAATTGGGGTTGTCATGGCAACTACTTATTTTAAGGCATTTTACAATTGTTATATAATTGTCATATTTTGCATCGTGTGTGCGGTCAAATGGCCATACTGGACCGCAGAACAAGGAAGGCACTTTAAAATGGCGCTGCTTCAATATCTAAAGCGTTATTCTGTTTATTTTATCATTTCTAAATGATCTTTGTTGAGTTAAAATTTGAAAGCGTATTTTGTGTCTTACTAATACTGACTATCCGTAATTTTAAAAATCAAGCATCGGATCATTATAGATGACTAATATAAGCAAACCCTAATATAAGTGAGCCCTTTCTTATTAGGTGATGTCTAAAAGTTAAAGCTCTGAAAACCATAAACATCACTTTGAAGGTTAATGCCACAATTTAAGACTTTGCTATTTATGCTTAATTCTTCTTAAAAATTGGATTTAAAGACTTAAGTTTTTTTTAACTAAATGTTCAAGTAAAAAAAAAGAAAATCAAAACAGATAGTAAAGATTGACTAAGACAACTTTGTGCGGGCCTATCATATAAAATAATGTGCCAAAATGTGGAGAAGTACTTTTGCAAGGCATTGTGTAGGTAAACTGATTCAGTGAAATGAGTTGCTTACTATAAATTAGAATTTTAGTGCAGTAAAACAACAATAAAGTTGATGTTTACATCCAGAGTGTTCAAGTACAACAGAAAGATGAAGGGTGATCGATGTCGGAGCTGAAGCTGGGCTGATTTGTTGACAGAGCGATGTGGGAACAGGAGGATGGAGCGCTTCGAGCAGGAAGAGGATATAAGAATCAGAAAACCTCCGAGACTCCGCCTGGTTTGGTATATCTGAGGAGACAGAAGGGGCAGCAGTAGTTTAAGACCCGACATGGAGCATGTGGGGAATCACTGCAGCTTTCTGGGTTTGTTTGTACCTTTGGTCTAATTTGGGCCCGGTTGTCTGGTTGCTGTGGGTGTCGGCTGTATGCCGACGGGTCTGAATGTGAGAGTGGACCTCTGACTGCAGCCTCTCTCCTTCTGACGGCACCAAACTCTCCTCCAGGGGAGCCTGTTCATCGTAGAAGAGCAGGCTGCGGGAGCGGACTGTGACACACAAACACACTGGAGTTCAATCTGAGGGTTACCTTTGACCTCTAAAACTGATAACCTCATTATATTTCCCATTAAAACCTTTAAATGTGATAGAGAAACACAAAGTATGCCTAATACCCATAATTAGGTTGTATAGAAGGATGATTGTGCAACAGCAAACCTACTAAATGGCTTCACACAAGGTTGGGGCAATCAAACAATAATAAATGTTAGGAATTAATCTGCTAATTGAAGAATCTTTGATAAGGCGCATTGCTTGCATTGCAGTTCAGTGTTTGTGGTCATAAGCAGAAGTTTAGTTTAAAATCCCAAACAAGAAAAAATTTAATTATAAATATTTTGTTAGCATTACAGTTTCAAAATGAAAGTTAACATTAAATTTGTCTTATAATGAAGAGGATTAGGACCATTTAAAATAAATAATTTTTACTTTTAGTTTTAATTTGGACCCTTTAGGTAGATTTGGGGATTTTTTTTCTATGTGTTGTTTTCCCAGAAAATATCAGAATTCTGAGAATAATCATTACAGAATGTCAGAATTATAAAATTGTGTAAAAACAAATCAGAGTTGTGAGAGTAAATAAAAATATTTTTGATTCTTCGTCACCATTCCTGATCCGCTTCCATAACATTCGCTAATAAAACTTTTAAACATTCCTTTTTCTAATTGTCCCTTAAACGCATCATGTCAGGAGCGTCCAAACAGACGTGGAGAAAACCGTAAAGGTCAGTTGTCAACCTCCAAATTCCACAAAGTAATGCATATATATCTACACATGTATAAATGTTGGTATTTTAGACTTCATATTCGGCCAAGGAAGATATTTTGTCCTCGCTCAACTCAGAAGAAGCGACACTTGAGCCGCCAGGAGCCGCCAACCATCTGACAAACTGGACGCTAACAAGGTAGCTTCCTGTTTCTGTTTCTCTGATACATTTGTTGCTAGCTTAGACTGTGAGTATTCGCTGACGGTCTAATTCGAATTAGGAAATAAGAATTGCTTTTCTAATTAAAATAAGCTATAAAATAAACATAAGTCAAATTTTTGGCCAACGGCGAAAACACCGAGCCAACTTCCTTCAGACCTTCAAAATAAGAGCGTTCGGAATGTATAACGCGCTCTTAAATTAAAATAGCATATTTTCTTTAAAAGCGGCTGATTTAAATGCTTATGAATCATCACAGTGTGAATGTTTGTTCATATTGTCTCTTCCATGATATAGAATGTAATACAGTAGTGATTCTGGGTTACCTGTGGACCAGGAAGTCCTTGTTTGCTTTAATTAAACTTCTACAAAACTTTAATCACTAAATTATATACAGAAAGAGTCAAATTTTCTTTAAATATTTACAATTAGTAAATGTGTATTGTTGTTCTTTTTAAAATGTTTTGTTTTGTTAGATTGTGGGCCTTGTGCTGGATTGTAATGTGACCTTTTCCTCAAAGGTCACAATTAAATATCACAAACTGGTACTTGCAATAATATCCTGCCATCCTATAACCATAGTAACCATTAGAAACCTTTGACATGTCAACCAGCCTTTATTGCACAATTACATCTCAAACATAACAGTGGAATTTGCTTAATGAGGTTGGGATTTTAACTGGATGTAGAAAAGCAGCTTAATGTTGGGTTGAGACAATATGTTGCTCTGGGAGTTTATCTTTGTAAACTAGTGGCCTCTGGCAGGAGCGTGGACTGAAACGGTCGAGCATGTTTACCCACCCTGACTGGTCGTGTAGAGGTCCGCCGACGGTGAAGGAAGAGAAGAAGGTGAGGAATGAGAGGATGATGAGGATAAAGAGGAGGAGTGAGAGAAAAAAGACAGAGGAGAGGGACAAGGGGAGAAGGAGCCCAACACCAGGACGAAACACAGCGCCATCATCTGTGTAGAAACAGAACCAAAACCCCTACATGAACAAATAATGAGTAAAACTTAATCAGACATGACTCTATTTGTAACCAAATTATTTGGTTGCAAAGAGAACCAAAATTAAGATGAGTATTTATTCCCTTGATGATTTCTTTTGTTTTTGCTTTTTAAAAAAAAAATAATTTCTCAGGTTATCTGAGGAAGATAACACTTGTTAAGCACTTGTTAGCAGCAATAACATTTACCATGAGGCACGTTCCTGTTTGAGTTGAGGCCATTTTACATGAACGGGGGATGACTTTCCCTGAAATCAGAGACTGAAGCTTCTGCAGCTGCTGTAGAAGAGACCTGGGCATGAAACAGACACAAAGGGATATAAACAAGTAGTAAGAAAGGAAATTATACATAGAAAGTTATACTTGTTATTTGTTGTCATAGCTAGATCTATGCAGTAAATTTCAGTCCATTTTGTGTTAAGCTAAAGGACATGAGAGAATGAATCTGGAGAGCAGGGCTCTGATGGTATCAATCATCAATAGCTGTGAGGACTCACTCCAACCACTAGGTGGAGACAGAGAACCGGATTACATGACCTTAAATACATGATATATATTAAAAGAAAATTAAAGCACTCAGGTGTAAAATTGAAACAATGAGACAAAAATGTAAAACTTGACATTTTCATATTGTCAGCTGTAACATGCAGATCAGATTTAATGGACTTTGAAGTCCTTTCACTGTGAGTTACAGCTAAACTTATTGCTGCTTCTTGAAGTAAATATCCAGCACTGTGATGTAAATCTTTCTTTGGCAACCTCAAATTTTGTTTTACTTAGGTTGGTTTTAGCTCTCGGTGCTAGGCTAAACCACACATTTCCTGAACTTTTCTCAATATTGTCCCAACCCTAGACACAAACAATAACTTTCATTTTTGATTCACAGAGAAATCACTGCATTCCCTTTGTCGCTATTAAAGTGACGGCACCCAGAGTTGATGTGCAGCACGAAAAGAAATTGCACATGGGAAGAAAATGACCACTAATGGGTGCATTTTGGGACATTTTTAGCTTGAATCAGGTTTGCTCATTTAGACCCTCTTTTTTCAGCTGCACTGTTTGGATTTTAATGAGAGTGAGCGTGCTGACTCATGTTTCCTCGCTTTGTGCCAGCTCATTGTTCCACCGTGTGGTTGTCAAACATATTCATCAGTGTGTATAGTGGGAAGAGGCGGGGGCTGCGGGGGGTACCTTCCATGATGAAAGCTACTTTAATGACAGACTCGGCGCTCAGACAGACAGAGACAGACCCTCTACCTCCTCCACACCCACCCACCCAACTAACCACCCACTCCAGGATAAAAGTAGACTGGTTTCATATCGTTATAATAACAGAGGACACAGCAGAGGCTGGTCTAGCACATCTGAGCTCAATTTGAGTTTATACTCTTTTATATCTTGCAGTCACACTCTCAATATAAAATCTGAAATGATCTACAGCACCCTGATTCCTACTACATAAACCTATCTGATGCATTTGAAGTTTCTTAGAACCTTCAGTAAGTAATCCATGACTTTGTATTTGCCTGGTGCATCGAAACACCATGAAAACGAGCTCTATTTCTTTGAAAAGTAAAGTAAATGTGGGGAGATATTTATTGAACCAGGAAATGTCTATAAGCAGCCACGAGAGGAGGAGGTTAAAAAATGTATAGACTTACATTTTTACTAGGTATCTCTACCCAGTTCCCTTAAAAATAATTATCTATATGTTAACGGATTGTTTTGGAAGTACAGAAAAAACCTTTTTCAGTCCCACTATCACAATCTTAAATGTTGTGGGTTTGCTAAACTCTGCTGAGACTGTAAACCAGGTTTTCTGCAGGATTCACCGCCTCACATTTAAGAATTTTGAAGAGTATTATGAATGAAATTTAAGATCTGCATCACAACAGAAATGAAAAGGAAATTGCATATTTATAAGACGCACCGAAAATATTTGTAAGCATGGAAAACTATTGAGGAAGTAATGGTAGTCCTTGTAAGATTAGCTATAGCTACGTTGCCCAGGTAATCAGCAATAAATTTGCACTTACCCATACAGAGGCAAAAACACAAGCAAGCTATTAGCAGATAGTTGCCGCTAAACAGAACTGGTTAAAATGGCCACAAAACATTTTAAGGTTCTTTTCACGCTCTGTATTTGGAATTGTGCTTTAATCAGATGAGATCAGACTTGAGTTTTACTCCAGGTGTGATTTGCACAAAACACAGAATGGTTATGCAGAAAAGCAGCTGAAGCATAGAGGAAGTCTGATACTGTGGGAAACCTTAACCACCAACCTTATGAATATTTTACCCTTCTCTCGTCATATTTTACCTTTCACTTTGACCATTAATGGTTAAAAGTGTCCTCTTTTGCTTTTATTTTAAGTTACCAAGTTTTCTTGTTATCCTCTTACTTGTTTTCTGTCTTTCTCTGGACTATGGTGTTTTGTGCTGCACTTCTAGGATTCTTTCACCATCACAAACGTGATACCCATGTGATTCCATCCCTACAGCAAAATATCATCCAGCTCTTGTTTTATCTGCCAAGCAGTTGCTGATGATAATCCAAACATCATTACATAAATGGATAACCCATGTCACAGTTGTTTGGAGCACACAGAGATCTTTTGATAAATTGTGGTAATATCTGCAAGCCAAAGTGTGTAAAAGCTCACCTGTTGGCAGTCTCCAGGTTTTCTACTTTTCTCCACAGGTCGCTGTTTTCTGACGTGTAATTCTCCACCCTGATGGACAAACAGACAGATTATTTTGATATCTCTGCACCTGCATTTGTGTGGTGTCGCCCTAAAAGATGCAAACATTTCTTGGCGCTGCAGTTATCCTAAAAGGGGAACAAAAATCCCTGCAAGACTTGCAATAAGCAGTAATAAAGTTTAAATTGGAACTTTCGAACGTATACATGAATATTTCTGCAAATACTTGAGGCCAAATCATTTTAATTAAAGTAAAAAGCGCTACATAAGTGTGGATGAACAGTTTGGATTGACACCTTTGTGCTTAAGATATCTGTTCAGTGTCGCATCAGCTATAATTATCTTCCTTATTACAAAAATTGATGAAATCAATTACCAGAACACACAATTTTCTTTCTGCAAAGCAAAGAAATATTTGTTTCTGGATAAAAAAAAAAATCAGTGAAGTCTTTCTTTCTGCAGCAGCATTAAAGATGTAAAAGATCAAATCTGACCTTTTAATTTTTTAGGGGCTTGCAACAAACAAATGCAAATGCAAAAATAAGCCTAATTCCAACAGCATTTAGTTCTGTTTTTTTGTTGCACATTATGACATTTAATTTCCTGCACTTTATTTCTTTCCTCGCTTTAATCCCTGCTAAATCTGTTCCCTTGATCAATAAATTCTCTCATGTATACATGTGAGTTTATTTATCCGCAGAACTTTCTATAAATGTTTCTGTGAAATAGTCTTGATTACATTTGTAATTGCAATAAACATACATTTGCATAAAAGAAACATATTAGTCCATCCCAACACTTATAAGAATAATAGAAACACAAAAAATAATCTGCTGCAGCAGATTTAAAACATTTTTGCGAATAATCGTGATTAAATAGTTTAATCTATTGACAGAATCGTGAATGACTCCTCACTGCCTTTCTTTGTCTGATCGCTTCTTTGCTGCAATCTCGTTCTAATCCTATTGATCAGAATTATCAACCTAACATCTTCATCTTTTATACTTTCTAATCCTTATCTACCATGGCTGGTTTGACACATTTGCTCAAATTTCATCTGGTAATTATCTTCTTTTTTTTTCTAAAAAGCTCGCATTGTAATGTAGCAGGATAATAGAGTTGAACTGATTGAGTAAAGCGAAGCAGCGCTCTGATTCATACCACGTCTGCATTTATTCTGATGGGATTAATAAGATATTTTGCAACCATCTGCCTCAACTGTTCAGTGTTATTATTGTTCCATATTGTGATGAAGGGGTCATAAAAGCAAATCCATAGTTTCAGTTATTTTCCATGACAGGAGATTGAGTGAATCTGGGCCATGTGTTCAGCAGGTTACTGGAGTCTGGCCATCATTAGGACTGGCCAGAGTAAAGCACAACAAATTTGCGTTAGGAAGTTCCAATTAATATTTAATCTTTTGCTAATGAATCACAAAGTAGATAAAACTTTGATTCATTCAAAAAGTGACATTGTTGACCTCAGGAGAACTTGAGGTTGCCTGCAGTTTAGTCCTCTCACTCCGCTCTACTTTACAGCAGCTGGGAAAACCTCTAAATACAAAAACTGGCTCCAGTCTGAACCATCGCTGCCAAGTTCACTTTAGCATTACACAACTCACTCTCTCTTTGGTCGGGTTGGATTTTTTCCTCCCCCCCTCATCAAGAGCAAGCAAATGCTTGTAAATATAGAAAGACTCATGGGTGGAGTGAGCTAGGGAAAACCTCGATATCTAAAGAAAGTGGCTTTTGGATTGAAGACGGAAGGAAAGGTTATGAATTCACTTCTCTGTAACCTCATTGGCTACAAAGACCTTTTCAGGATGTTTTGGGGTGTAAAATGCGAGAGGGCTGGCCTCCCTTTTTCTAGACAGCTATAGCAGATGATTTGTAAGTTTTGTAATTTGAGTAAGCTATAATGAAAAAAAGGAGGACGAAAAGGGAAAAAATCATGGAAAAAAGGAAGTCTTACTTTTTTTCCAGACATTCCACATACTCTTTCTTCTTTCTCCGACTCTCCTGAGCTGAAATCTAAACAAACAGAAGAGTATGCTTTTAATTTTCTATCTCAGTTACAGCAGAGAAGCTATAAAAGTCTGAACAAATTGAAACGTGTTGAGACATGAGTCATCCCCACTCATCTCACTCATCTGTCTATCCCCTCATTTTGCCATTCATCACCAATCCACGTTTCCTTTTATCCCTCACAACTACCCTTTTTGTCCCCTTCATCCAACATTACCACACATTTTTATAATCAACCTTCATCCACTGTTCATCCCACTCATCCTCCATTACCTTGTAACCTGTCGTTCTTATTTTATATCCCTTTTATCATTTTATTCCCATCATACTTGATGGCATTTATTACTCTCCCAATTTTCATCATTCTCTTTCTGCAACTCACTCATTCAACTATTCAACTCAGTCCCTCTCATCCTTCTTGTTTCACTTCACTAAATATTTTATTGCCATTCTTCTTTTCCTCAATTCTCACCTTTAATCCACTCATTACAACTTCTCTTCATCTCTCTCATTCCTCACTTTTAACGTTTGAGTTATCCTTCTTATCGTTCACTGCCACTCCCTTTCATCCCACTTCTCCCTCTCCTTTTTCACATTTTCCTCTTATTTACTGGCATATTCTTGTCATTCTCCTCATCCAACATTTCCACAAATTTCTATGCCACCCATCCTTCTGCTCACTCAGCACCAAAATGCAGATTTCACCTTGTTTTTAATCTTCCGTCGAACTCTCTTCAGTGCTTTCTCCTCGCTCTTGGTGAGGGGAAGTTTGTTTGGCACAGGGTAACCCTCGGCCACCAGGGTCCTCTTCTCTTCCTCTGTCAGCATGAGGGGTCCTGAGCCCTGCAGCTTCTGCATAATGCCGCCAAGAAAGATAGTAATCATTTCAAAAGCGAATGTTCCTTTATGTATTTAGGGCAATCCAAATTTCCAGCCTTTATTATGTCTCCACTCCTGGTGAAGATCGTCTGCTGGCATTGAATAAATATATGTTTTATTTGATCTTAGAAATTCGGCCCAATGAGTTGGACAATAGACAGACTTATTGAGCACGCTCCGTACTGGCAGAGACCCAGAAGCGAATCTCGACCCGTCGTTGTGACTCTTTCATTTATACAATGAGGGAAACGTAACGGGGAGAAGACGATGAGACTGAACTCACATGTGGTGCTGTGAGGAGAGGCGAGGAGGAGATGGCTGTCGAGGAAGAGGAGGAAGACCCACGACCTCCTGGCCTCTGTTGTGGCTGGGGCGAGGACGGCGGGAGAGGGAGGTGCGGGGAGGACGGCGGTAGTGAGCCGTCACTGTCGCCATGGTTACTGCTGGGTGGGGTGGGCGGGAGCTGGAGAGCGTCATCTAAAAGAGAGGAAAGGTGCTGCATGAATGCTTCTGCTTGGGGATGACTAATCATGGGAGATTTATTAATTTTAAAGATGGGCAGCAGACAAACACGATGTGCAGTCAGTGAGTCTTTCTGTTTTGGATGTCTTTGACTCTTTTTTATTTTATTTTGTGGTAGAAGTTTTTCTCTTCATACCCCCTCACCAACAACTGAGAACTAATCCTGATTGTTTGGCTATTATGGAAATGATATGTAGTTGTGTGCATTTGCGTATTTTAAAGTCCTGCTTCACCGATTTTGTTGAATTTATTTAATTCTAGCCTGGTATAAGGTTACACAATGATGAGGAAAAAGGTTGTCTTTTTATAAAGTGTGTATGAATAGCTAGTTTTATCTATATTTGAGTTGTTCTGGGTACCGTTGGGCAGGCTGAGATACTGTCCGTTTTCTCTGGGTTCGTCCTTTATAGCTACTGACTTCACGTCGTCTAGACGGCGCTCCTAGAGGAAACACAAACACACAAGAGTAGCAAAACACACTTATGAATATTTTTGACAAAGAATTATTTATATTTTATATGGTGGCAGAAAATATTGATCAGATGGATGCTTACTGTGCATTTCCACGGTGACCCTGTGTGGGGAGGGGCAGGGCTTAATATGAGAGGCGGGCTTTCGAGAGGCTGAGGATCTAACCTTTGGCCGATCTCGGGCTCCTCCTGTTTCACCAGGATGGAGGACAGGTCCTGGCTGAAGTTCCAGTCAAATTCTGGAGAAAACACAAGGAAATAGCAGATTTTTTTATTGACAAATTTATAGTTTGATATGTAAGACAGTTTAGAGCGGCTCACGTCTTAAATCACCTTGAAGGTTTTAACCATACTTTCACCCCTGAAAATTCTCCTATCCTTCCAAAACGGTAAATTGAAATTCTACAAGGATTCTAGGTAAAGATTCTCACATTTCTCCTTAGCGAGGCTTTGCTGTAGGTCTGCCAATGGGAAATAACAAGCAGCTTTTAAATCCTGCTTTGGGAGCGCTTCCCCAGAATATTCTAGCACTTCCTGTCGGGGCTGTTTATTACAGACTGCTGGACAACATTGCTTTGGCAACTGTGGTGCATAATTTGTTTCTCGTGAAGGAGTATTGACCCTGAAATAAAAGATGGGCTGAACCACCAACTCGTCTTCATTATCCTTCATGGGAAAAAGAAACAGTTGACGCCTTTAAACACTGTAGAAAATATGCATAATCGAGTGAACCAACTATAAGGTTACAGTGCAGTTCAGGCAAAGGCCACCAAAGCACAAAGTGAATATAATGGTAAGAAAAATCTCACAGGTACTTCACTGTTTAGTCTACTCCACATAGTAAGAGGTATTTTAGTGTTTGTGTTGGAGTTTTCCAGAGACATCCAATCTCCAGAGGAGCCAAAACTGAAAGGGGAAGAGGCTAATTGTGGCAAAATCCCACAACTGCCACCTAAATGAGAGCATCTAGCAAACACCAAAGGGAAGGAGGAAAGTCCATGCAGAAAGAGAAACTGTAATAAGTTATGAGGAAATAACCAGGATAGTTTCAAAGTCGCACAAGATTGTACAATTAGACAATTGCCCATCTATGCTCTCAGATTGGTTATGTGCAGAGTTTTATGGACAGCCAATTTTCCAACTTAAATCACCTGTCTCTGTTATCACAAGACTATAAGGAGGGTAGCATACAAGTTAAAAGATTAGAAGGATTTCCATTCTAACAATCCTTTAAAAAAATTATACTGAAATTACTTCTCCAGCTTTTTTACACTTTGTAGTATGATAAAGTGAACATTATCCCAGTTATGAGTCTTTAGCAGGAACAGTTATTTTGTTTTAGAATTACCCTGTATTTATTTTTCCTCATCATTGTGTAACCTTATTATAAATTCCGATCAACTGTGACCATCGTTCCTTGGTGACATATTAAGGAGTTGTAGACCGCCGATCTAGGCCATTTTTTATTTAACTTATCAGTACATGATCTTCTGCTTATTTACTTTGTCCTCTGCAAGGTTTTTAGTATAAACAGGGGTGTCTTATCAGGAATCAACTCTTTCATTTCTTGATAATCTTCCATAAAGGTCAGATTTGTGAAGTGCAAGTTTCAACAGATTTCTCAACCTGTGGATTTCTGTAGCTCCTCCAGAGTAACCATTGGTCTCTTGGCTGCTTCTGTGTATAATCTTAAGACTTTTTGTTGGGCTTTCACATAAAATCTGAATATCTTTTTTGTTTTAATGTGACAGAATTAGGAAAAGTTACATGGTACTTTACGAAAGGGCATATTGTATTGACCACAAGGAAATTTAGTTATAAATGGCTTCTGCCTTGAATCAAACTTCTTTAAAGGTGAGAGCCTCCAAAAGCACCTTGTTAGGACAGCAACATAAAACATTTTAAACTTTGCCTTTAAAAGTGAAACTGTGACATAAGTTGTAAAGAGTAAAAAGTGACTTCTGGTAGAAAGGGAGGAGTGTTTTATCCTTGTAACATTTAAGACACCAGGACAGATACTTTGATGTTTGTAACAGCAAACACGCACACAGACAACAAACAGGCTCCCAAGGTGCAAGCAGTTCCTGAACGTCAAGTTAATTGCCTCCTCGTTTCCTAGCGACATTTTGTTGGTAAAACGCTGTCAAGTTTACAAGCTTTGTGTGTACGCGTGCATGTGCGCGGTGCGTGTCAACGTTAACGCTGTCCATCACTACCGCAGGGATCAGCGATGTGAGGATCCATCTTAAAAATGAGTCCTTGGATACTTCCTGCTGACATGAAGTCAATAGCCGCGAGCTCAGCGTTGCAATGTGTGGTGTCACTATCAGAAAGGAACACTGTCCTCAAGCCTGCCAAAACAATAACTAGATTTAGGAGATGCATACTGGAAACAATTGAGGGGTTTTATTACCATCAGCTGCATTAATTCCACAGCTGTTGTTTATTTCAGGCAAAAAGATTGAGAACATCAGGCTCAAATATGACGAGTCATGTACAAATAAAATCAAAGCAACTTTCAGGTTTATGTCATTGTGTCCATAAACCCACTAGATTATGACTGAAGGGAAATTCTGAACAAAATGTTGAGTTAGTAGAATTAGTGCTCTGTCAGACATGTTGTCTCCTTCGAAGTGACGCCAAGTCTACCAAGAACCATGCAATCTGTGGTGTGTTTAGAGCCATTATATTGTCTTCACACACATTATTTCTTATGTATGTGAAGCTTATTGAGTTTCGATGCTAATACTTAAAAAAAAAACTCTTGATGCTCAATATAATTTTCATTTTTAATAAATGTATAGAAAATGTTTTGAAGGCACCTGGTTCTTCTTGGTTAGGTTTCTAATAAGGCAACATTTTAACCTCGTTAATTTGGCCAAAACCAATTAGTCGAGGTAAAATTCAGCCCTGTCTGAAAAGCTAGTATTTACCAGTTCTCTATGATAATAGTAGCTATAATAACTAAATCTTAATCTCATATTAAGCAAATTGCTTTTTTCAATTTGCTATAGAGGTAATACAATGGGAAGCAAAATAATTTCTGACCTCCAGAGAAATTTCCGATTTGGTGGCGGTGCACCACAACCTGCTGCCTGCGTGCTCTTTATCAGAGGCCAGCACAGAAGCCTTGCTAATGAGGCCAATCCTGCTGTTAGCCTCAGCCTTGTTAAGCTCTCTGCCCTTGTTAAGCCAGGGCCAGATTGGAAACTCACTATGACATTTTTAATGAGTACTAGAGGCTTCATGCAGAAGAAAACTCATTTTCCATGCAAGGCTCCAATTGCACAATGAGAAATGACTTCCATCACTAAGGTCAAGAAGTTGGATTAAAACAAAAAGATTACTACTAGAGAAGGAAAAGATTGTATTTAAATAAACATCTCCTGCTTCAGCAGTTCTGTCCAGTGTCAGGTGATTGTAAAAGGAGCTGCTGGTGATTAAAACTGCAGCTTAAACTTCCCTCTAACCAGTTTATGGGACTCCTTTGTGGGTACGAGAAGCTTTTTGTGCTGGTAAAAAGCTGAAAGCAAAGGTAAGAAAACTGTTAATAAGCAAAGCTCCAGGCAGTCATCACAGGGGGCTAATAGAGGAGAGGTGGTGACTTTGTTTGATCTCAGCTGGGAGACTGTAGTATTAAAACATTAGATGGATCAGCGCAATGGGAGCTCAGCGTCTCCTTGACTGGATGAGAGAAACGCCTACTACGACTAAAGCCTGAGAGGAGAAAATAGCTATTAGAAAAAATAATCAATATTATAGGATATTACCAAGAAGAGGAATGCCACCAAACACACAATATTATATTGGTGAAAGGTCTTTCCATTTATGCATCCCATCTCTAAGAGGGAAACCGAAACATCTATCCACACTGTGATACTCCAGCTCGTTATGGAGAATGCCAGGGTGTTTTAAGGCCAAAAGGGATAAGCAGTCTGTCCAGGACGGTTCTGGATCTATCCTTGCTGGACTCGGGAACTGCTTGTTTATTACAGACAAGACTCCAGTTCAACTCGCTCCTACGTTGAACTGGAGCTAGTTCAACGTAGGAGCTGTTGTGAACAAGACACCGAGATGGTTGAGCTCTTCTGATTGAGGCAGCATTTCATGTTTTTCTGATTGAGACCCGTGACGTCAGACTCCTTTCCTAGCCGCTTCACACTTGGATGATATTTAGTGCATGCTGAGGGTCATGTTTTTCTGGTGGCATCATCAGACAATCTCCTGATGCCACCAGAAAAACATAATTTGCAAAAAGTACCAGAAACCCTCTTCTCCACAACTACACCCTCAGATCAGCCATGGTGTTCAAGCTTGACTTTATCCCTTGAATGTGGACACAACTCTTGCTCTTGCTTGGTCATTCAGAGTCTTTCTAGATTAATGCTGCTCATAGTAGTAGCATGTTGAAACAGTTCTTTTGGGTTGGCTCTGATTTATTATTTTTCTAGACTTTTGTTTATCTTTTTTTTTTTGTTTAGGTGTTGATTGTGGATGTTGTGCCATTGGAATTAATTTTTTTCTCTTTTTTTTACTTCATACAGCTGTTGTGATCTGCCACTGCAGTGTTTTTGCATTTGGGAGCAACTGATTAGCATATCAAAACTCACATAATTCCTCAACGACAACCCCAAATCCCAGAGGAGTTGAAAAGGAGGATCCATGGATCCAGAGAGATCATAATGAGCGGTAAGTACATTCCCTTCTCCAACATCTTTCTGCCTTACTTTCTAACCATACAGCCAGGCAAGATTCTTATATCTTTGAAGATTCTTGAATGATTTGAGTTATGACAACATTTAGCTTTCCTTTGGGATGAATAAAGTATTATTGAATTGAATTGAACAAGGACTGAATAACCTTTAAAGTGTCCCAGATACTCCATACTCCCCCATAATGCCTTGTTGGGGACAAGGTCATAATACTTCTGCAGATCTACAAAACAGATGTGGACTGGACAACAAGGGCCATGCCTCCCTCAGCAGTTTCCTCTGGGTAAAGATCTGGATGCATTTTCCGTAAGCCACACGGCTCTTCGTGAATCAATGGTCTGAACATCCTTTCCAACACTCCAGAGTAAATGCTGCGATGTTAAGCGGTTAGAATCATTTTGTGAAATACAAGAAAGAAGGATTTAACAATCCAATTTGCCAAATTTTATCTGTTGCCGTTTTGTCCCTGTGTGAGGAAGGTAACTTATTTCCCTCAAAATTGAATCCTTGTCAAACAGCACCACAGCCCGCTGTCAGATCTCTTATCGCCAATACATAATGAATCCCTTTTGCTCAGAGCGGATGGGCTTCTGAAAGGTCAAGATCTTCCACCATCCGTAGGTGTCTAATTAATCTGATTCATCCTCACTAATAAGCAGCAGCTCCTGCTTTTAGTACTCTTGCTATATGCAAGTCTGGCAACAACAACAATGATCCTTAACTCTTCTCAAGCTTAAACTGAGCTTCTCAAGAGATTAAGTTCTCCAAAACTGGCAGCAATTTGAACATGTTAAGTTTACAGGCTGACACAAATCTGGAGTGGAATGCCTCATTCATTTTAGGATGCAAAATGCTTTTGATGCTGATGCAACAGTTGATTTAAATCACAAATCTAACAAAAACGTTTAAGTGCCTTGCAAAGTGATCATACCCTTAGGAACCTTGGAAACACAAACTGCCTGGACCACCTCTAAGTAGTGCATAATGTGATGAAGTAATAACTCAGGGAGACTGGAAACAAATACACACTTTTCAGAGTTTTATTTGCACAAGTTTTCATTTTTTCTCTTATTAGTAATATAAAATTCCTTGGAGTTGCTGTCAAGAGGTACTAAAATATTGTTTTATGTGATTTGTGGAGCCCAATGTCATGCATCTGCACATTTGAGCACTAAACTAAAGAAAAACATACTAAATATTTAAATCTTTTTATATTTAACTACAAGCTGATGTTTTACCAAGCTACCCATTTCTTAGCTAAATGTGGTCTTTTTGGCTGAGCAGATAGATACTTGAACCAAAAACGTGGATTTAGTTGGATTAAGGGTAAGAAGTCCAGAAGAGCTGGAAAACAGTGAGATAACCTGACAGAGAAGAGAAGGAGAGTTTCCTTTGGCAACAACTATAGCTGCAGACTTAAAACCACATGCTTGTCGTAGTATTGTGTCCGTCTGTGTGTGTTTATGCGCGTGTGTGTTAGGTGGGCAGGGCTTAGCTGGAGGAGAGCTGCTCAGACTGGGATCGTGCTGCTCAGACAGCTGGATCCCCAGGACAAATGGAGAAATAGACAAAAACACGGTGACAGACATGTGGGTAGAGAGACACACAAAAGATGACCGCAGGAGATGTCGAAGATGACTCAGAAAAGGGAGAGAAGCACCTACAAAGATGAGTCTACAGTGTGTTTCCCTTGATTTTCCCTTTAAAAAGGCAGGCATTGCTTTAAATTTGATCTAAGTTGCACCCAGATAAGCTGGATCAGCATGAAGCTTCGGAGCTTTATCTGAATCTACAGGCACAGGTTTTGAAAATATCAAAGTCATTGACCCACCAGACTCTTGGTCCATTTTGATTGACAGGGCTGGACTCTGGGGGGCGGAGTCTTCACTCAAAGAGTAGCTGTGCTCTGCTTGGATATCTGTGAGATTAAAAAGGCCCTCTCAGAAGGATGGAAAATGGAACAGCGTTCAGTACATCTACTGACATTAATGAAGATTTAATTCATGAGCCCTGACGTTATGCGCTTGTGTTGGACCCACTAATGACGGCCAAACAGAACGAAGCAGGCGCACAGCACAAACGGAGCCTTCAAAATTATTCATACACCTTGAACTTTTCCACATTTAGTCGCATCACAACCTCAACCTTCATGTTTTATGAGGATTTAATGTGACAGACCAACTGGAGGTTCATAACTATGAATCTGAAAACATTTTTTGCAAAAAGAAATCTAAACCAAAAGAATTGCCATTATAGACCCACATTTTACTAAGATGTTTGGTGTGTGTAATTACAAAACAGCTAAAGTGTATTAATGAACATCAATTTTCAAATTCAACGTTCTTATTTCTGTCTGGAAGGCGAACTTTTGTCCGTCACTTTAGATTTCATTCAGCTCAACTAAAAAATACTTTTGTCATCCAAAGGTAAACTTATTGTTGTCATAACAACACCAAGTTAATGTCATCCAAGTATTTTCAAAGAGAAAGACTCCGGTAGCAGTGACTAATCTGAAGAGACCTTTGACTGAAGACTGTGGTTGTATGTTAACATCTAAATACTCAGGCAGCAGAGATGACACTCCACACTTTTTAGGATTTTAATTCACAATAATGCACTGCTTTTCTGGCCCATCACACAAAATCACAATCAGATCCAATTACATTTCCGCATATGAAAGTGGAAGAGGTATCAATATTTTTGCAAGGCACTTCATGAAACTATAGTGTCACTTTTACAGCCCCCCAAAGCAAGACTCCTTTTGCTGCTAGCGTGCTGCATGTATTACATGTTTCATTCATATTTATAAATGCGTCCAGTGGAAGATAATTATTTTAGATGAATGCATCACAGAACTTTTGACAGGATGCTCATGTAAATTCAGCTCGAGCAAATTTGATCTTATCTGCAGAAGCGTTCATGCTCATCTTGCAGTGTTTGATTCCAGGTTCTGCAGTGAGTTTTTTTTTTGTGTTGCTGTTCAGACATATTATAGTGATCTTATTTGTTTCGGGTATTTTTATCTTTTTTTTTTTCTCTCGTGACCATGGCAACACCTGACAGGGACACTGATTTGAAATGATCAGCTTGGATTGCAGAGCAGTGGGATGATGTCAACCTGTGGTACATTAACTGAGCATTTAAACCAGTAACAAAAGAAATGAATGTAGTTGTTATAATATCTGACATGGTTTTTTTTGTTGTAGTGATATGCAAATTTTTGAATACACTGAACTCACCTGGGTTGCTCTCCATGTCGATATTTAGAGGCGAGGGTCTATCTGTCAACAGGGGGCGCTCTAGCAGATGGTCGTCGAAGAAACTGTTAAATAATTCACTGCTGAAGTCGTCCATTTGGTCACCTGAAAAAGGCTGCAACACACAAACGTAAAAGTTTGGCATCGATGATTTTATCTCAACATCTCAAAAACACAGCATGATCCTCCCACCGCCATGTTCTATGGTGAGCATGTTGTGTTTAGGATGATGTGCATTGTTGGTTTTCTGGCGCACAGCCTTTTCCATATTGACCAAGAAGTTAAATTTAATCTCAACTGAGCACATACATGTTTGTTTTTTTACCAAATAAAACAATGGCTGTTGAAAATCCCTTTGCGGTATTCGTTGAAAAATATTTCAATAATCCCAAACTGAAATCAGATGTTGTATCTTATTTTACTCAAATATTCATGAGGGTTAGAGACCACAACTGCCTGCATATATTTGCAATCCACAGTTAAGATGATTGTTTCCACCAATTTTAATAGTTCAAAATACCAAATATACCTTAATATGAACTGAGACACACAGGATAAGTTGTCTTAATACTACGGCAGAAGCGAACATCTACAGTCTTATCTTCGTTGCTCTTCAGCCAGTCAGTATCAAAGAAAATGAATGCATGCATGCCACTTTATCCTGATGAAACATATATTTATGCTTATATTTCAACCATAGTCATTACAGGTAATTAAATATCCCCTCATCAACCCTTAGAGTACCACACCTTGTTTAATCTAAACATCAACTTTGGCCACTTCTAGCTAAAAAGTTAGTTGCAGTAACTTTTTAGCAATTGAACTTCAGCATAAACAGTCTTCACCGACTTCAAAATAAGAGCGTGAGTGTAAATGCTTTCCTACTTGTCAAACTCTTAACATTAACCAAAATGATTGTAATACTGATGTTTTAGTAGTTTCCAGCTTATGACAGACTTCACTCTTGGTGTTTCCAACCTTTCTCTCCACTCTGACCTCCCACCGCAACTCAATTTCCATTCATCTGACAGAGACAGTTACATTTTTTCCCCCCAACTTGAAAAACTGCTGAATAACTTGTACTTCTAAATCAGCTGTGAGAGCTGATGTTGTTGGACTCTGAAGTTGACTCAAAAAGACTTTCCCAGCTTGTGTGAATATACAATTCCCTAGATCTAAATTAGATCCACTGAGGGCTGTCAAACAAATCATTTTTATTCTGGCAAAAATATTTGTTATTGTTGCATGATCAATAAGCTTTTGAAAAAAGAACAGTTAGAAAACAGTAATAAAGAACCTAAAATAATATTAAACTCATTCCCATAATTGCTTAAACCTCTTAAAGGTTATAGCTATTGACGATCTTTAGTATTTGTTCTTATTCTGGTTATTGTCTGGATGTAATCAAAGAGTTATGTGAGATTTAAAGAGACACATTTATTTTATCTGCTTTTTAAAACGACAAGACAAAATCTATTACCTTTTAATGAAAAACAGCAGAATCAGTAAAACAGCTCTTAAAAATCAACATATCTTTTCAGTTCTGTAACATTTTATGTCTAAGTGTCAGAAAAATGACAATCTAGACAGCGTTGAAGCTATGACGAGTCAATCAATTGGCGAAAACAGCGTCAACAGATTAATCCTCTGTTCTGATGAATGAGTCACTGAGCTGGGAGATGGTGCTCTGGAAGCTCAGGAAGACATGGTGTTCTGGTTTACACACACACACACACACACACACACACACACACACACACACACACACACACACACACACACACACACACACACACACACATCAGCACACACACAATATGAGTCACCCTGCTCTTGAGAAAACATCCAGAAAGCAGAACCAAAGCAGACACATGGGTTGGTTGGAACCCAAACACCCTCTGCTTAGAGGCTCCTTAGACAGACAGTGACAAAAATAACTTGATTTAATTAGCAGCATGTACAAAAAAAATATTTACATGCTTCATTCCTGGAAGACGGCTTAATCTCTTCACCAAGGAGAACCAGAAGTGTCAGAGCAGGAGAGCATCTCTCTAGAGGCGATGATAAAACTTAATCAGGGATAATAAATACAGATCTGTGTTTAGTGGTTTTTACTGCATGTGCAAAGTTAAAGGGCTTTGTCACACAAACAAACCAGAGTCACAAAGCTCTGTTGCTGGCTTTCATTCCCAAAATTCAATTTAGCTACATTTATTTAAAACAGCATAGTTATTGGTAGTCTTTAAAGACCCTTTAAATAAGTCTGACTCAGTTTTTTCCAGTGATGTGAGTATTGGGTCCACTGCAGTTTAAAGAAAAAAAAAATAATGTCGGAATGGAGTGCAAACAAATTCACATTTATAGATTGATTTCACAAATTTAATAGAATATGGGTTGTCACTGTTGTCGAAGAGTTGTACATTTACAAGAAAAATGCATTCAATTGCAATAGTTTCTAACATTGTAAATTGAGAAATTGGTATCAAAAGAGCTCATTTGCATTTGTCACATTTGTGACAAAAATAAAATGTCCTCTTAAAGCTTGAGTGGGGAAAGCGCAGCTGGATATTTCATAATAAACACCTCAGATGGCAAAGAAAATGAAAACGCCTCAGATTCAATATTTTTTTGCACATTTCTGGCTTAAACATCTATATCTTTAATATTGTAAATATATGCTTTTCATAAAAGAAAAAAATATTTTTCCTGTCAAATTTACGACTTTTCTCCTACATATCTGAAATTAAAGTAAAAATGTCAAAAAGTTTTGTCCATAGCCACATTAATATTTTATTCACATTATTCTTTTGTTAATTTTTTTTAACACTCAGTGACAGTTTCCTTAAACAGAACAGATACTTATTTGTCCATTTTCTGTGAAATGTGCTTTAATTGACCATTTCGTTCTCATCAGGTACAGTATTCACTGCTCCTATTGGACCATTTGTAAAGATCAAAACATCAATTATTCAATGTAAATAAATTCTATATAGCAATTGATTGGATTTAAAAACCAGACTAAAGCATTATTGTGATGGATTTTAAGAGTGTCTCTTCCTAAATGCCCAAACTGTAGCTTGTCATCAACAAGAAAAAAAGGAAAGTCTTATAAATGTTGTATTTAATTAAGATCTTCATAAATCAGAAAATTACTGAGAATCTCTTTTATTTTTTTAGTTTTGATGCTTTCATGCTTTTATCAACGGAAAATAAATATTTGACCTGTTGATCATAGATCGTAGCCAATCAGGTGAAAACGGTTCCTTTCTGATCTGATTGACTGGTGCATCTTCCAATCACAGCTCCCTACATTTATTAAAGCTGCACCAACATGTGTCAATGTTTTCAGGAAGGCCATCCTGAAAACATTTACACATTATCACATTGTGTGTGTGACTGTACCACCATGTCGTGGGTGTTTGTGGTGAAACTCTGGGACACATCCAGCTGCCATTGGAAAACACGCGGAGCCAGCTTAGACACCGGCGAGAGAAAAGCCACAGATGCTCAGTTAAATAATCAAAACGTGACCCCAGAGAGTCACCGAGGAGCTCAGAAGGGAGTCTGGAGAATTCGTTTGCGTTAAGCTGCTTCTATTTACACGTTTTGCTGACGCGAAAGTGCGCTCATTCATAAACAGACGCCCACATAAAAGAGTAGTGCGTTTATCCCGACAGAGCTGCCTTGTAATCCTGCTGCTCTAAATGTGCAGAAAAAGGTGTGCGACTTTAAACCGTGCTCTTCTGGGAATGTGGGTCACTTAAGGACGGCTTTAACTCAAAAATAAACAGTGGAAAGTTTCCTAATTGAGGCCATAATAAGAGAAAGGGAGAAAAGACAGAGTAAGTTTCTATAAGTAGGACAATTATTTGGTCTAAAATTAGCTTTAAAAAGGCTGAATGAGTCCAACAGTGTCAGCCCCTGTGCAGAACTCAAATGACTGTACTTAACTTTGTAGCTGCAGAGGAGGATTAATGCCGCTCAGCAGCATTTGCAGCTTCTAATATTAGCTAAATTCACCTGGGTTCAAAAGGTCCATTCAATCCATCTGCTGAGTTTGCATATTCAGGTTCACCTGCAGCGAAGCCCACGCCAGCTCAGGCCTGGACATGTGCAAGACGAGCGCTAACCTTCAAAACTATTTGTATTTTTCACATTCAGACCTTCAGTCTGTTTCACTGCGATTTAAAGGAATGAGTAAACAAAACGAAAGAAAAACTTGACTCGGTTGTTGATCCTAATAACAAACAAGGGGATGTTTGTTCTAAGAAATGTCAGCAACAAACTTTGCTGAATTTTTACAATTCAAAGAGCCATTTTCACCTTTGGTGAGTCTTATAAAGTCTCGTCTAAAGCTGAAAATGTAACATAACTTAATATTTGACAACCATTCACTCCAGGAAATGTATTGGCTTTCTTAAATAAGAATTTTATTTATATTTCTGGGCTTTAAAATAAAGAGAAGCATAAACTTTTTGCTTTTTTAATGGACATATTAAAGAAAGACAGTTTTTAACCTATACAGACAAGAAAAATAGATTTAAGAATATGTTGCTGGTACTTTCAGTGACATTCTCATGCAACACTGATACAATTATTCCATGAAAAGAAACCAACTTGCTAAAACATGCTTTTCTTGAAATATATTTTAAAAATATTGTGGAAGGTCCAGCAAGATCCAAACTTGAGAACCTTTTGAGAAAATACAAACAAGTTGAAGGCGTCTAAACCAGGTACGTGTGAGGTCCTGGTGTCGGGCTCCAGCTGCCGCACTGATGGACGTGATTACGGTTGACGTTGTGGTAAAGCGGACATGCACCGTCACACTGCTGTGAAGCAGTGGTTAAAAATGACCCCAACATTCCTCAGATCTTATAATTAGTGCAACAGCAAAAAGGCTTCCTCTGCAGTTTGTAAGGCTACCAAAAAACATTACCCCAAGTGTGAATATTTTAATTCAGGAAGTCATTTTTACCACGTTAGTGACTTGCTTTCTGAATTGCATCAAAACATCAAATTATTTATCTTGTAAGGTCAACAAGCAGAAGATTGTTTTACGTTCGATGCTGGGAAATGCAACAAGAAGAATTTCAGTGTCTTCCTCGTAACTGTTTG